CAGGCCTGGCCTGGAGCTGCTCCCAGGGCCCAGTGGGTCCCAGCTCAGCATAGGCTGGCGGGGGCAGGGCTTGGTGTTAGCTAGACGTTCACAGCCATGGCCCAGCTCAGCTTCATCCAGGGCCCCGCGGCCTCCCGTCCCCAGCCTGATCACCACTGGGGTCCAGCTCGGCCCTGCCAGGCCATGCAGGCTGCGGTGGAGTGGGACCAGCCCCAACAAAGCTGAGTTACTTTTCCAGTCCAGAAGCAAGAGAGAGATCTCCCAGGTTTGCTCATGTTTAAAATGTGGATTTCACAGAGGTGGCCCCACCTTCCAAATGGTTTAATAAGTTGTCAATTCTCAGCTAACCAGCAAATGGATTTTTCCAGGCACAGAGGAAGCTCTTAGCAGCTTCTCTCAGGCAAATAATTTCCGTGGGTGGTTTCTTTCTTCCTTACTAAATATCAATTAATCCAAAACCAGCACAAAAACATACTAAGTATTCCATGTGTAACTGATATACGTATACTTTGACACTGCAGTACATGTATAATTTATAACATTTCATTAGGTAAGTTTGGAGCTTGACACCTGAAAATTAATTCTAATATAATTTAATTTAATATGGTAACTGATTATTGGAATAATTTTTGAAGCCTAATAGAATTTTCCTGTCTCTAATGAATTAAAAAAAAAAAAAAAATAAAGCTAAGATATTTTGAGGTTGTGTTTAGGAGCGACATTCTAAAATCCTCTTCCAGAGCTACATTTTCCTCAGTGGACAACTTTGATTGATAAGGATTGAGATGGGCAAAATAGTCTTTCAGAACAGAAATATGCCAAGCACAGCTGATTGTTTACTTTTTCATAAGTAAACAATCATGAAAAGCTATTCAGGGCTTCTACCATTCATTAAAACTTGTAGAGGAACTTCTGAGGATGAAACTCAAATCAATCTTTCATGGATTTGTTTGCAATATTACTGGGAGGTGGCAGCCCTCTGATCTTTTATTATTGATGGTATTTGAATCTGATTATCAGCTGGTATTTGCAACATATCAATGGTTCTTTTTATTCATGAGTCTACAGGAGATGGCATTTTTGGTTGTCTTGTTTGGTTGGATCAGGTTTTTTGTTATGGGGTGGGTGTAGGTTTGTTAAAAGTACGGCCAAGAGAGATTAACTCCGGAATAATATTCTGTTTTGCTTGTAAAACACCAATCCATTGATAGATGTTATATCTGCCACAGCATTCTCAATTTAGGTTTCAGTCTCCCTCTGGATAGAAAACAATTATGATCCACTCTGGTTGAGAGCACAAGCAGACAAGGTAAAATTTTGTATATGCAGTAAACTTCATTCTTAAGAAATCACTTATCTCTGCTAAAGGCTACCACTGTGCTGTCCTTTATTTTTCTTTTAATGTACAGATGAAGAAATTTCCTGTGTAGCCATTTATTTTCATTTTCTTACAGAGATAGACAGGGTCCAATTCACTAACATCCTGAGGGCCCTTATCCTTTATAATTAGAATTCAGCTCTACTAGAAGAAATCCTAAATGGGAATAGAAAAAAAAGCAATGCATTGTTGAAATGTACAATCAGACAGGCATACAAGTCAGGTGAAATGGATCAGATTAATTTTTATATTCTGGTTTTTACTGCATCCTTTTCTCTAATAATGTACAGGTATTCCTCACAAACCATTGATTTCCAAACAGATTTGTGATGTATTTCATATGCTCAGAGAAAATTGTGTTGTTATTTCACTTGGTGTCAGGTTATATTCTACAAAGATGTCACTGTCTCAACAATTGATAAGAAAATTTCATTGTGGAAGATGGGAAAAAAATTACTTTGAGTTTTTTTTGACAATAAATATCACTATTGTTATCACTACTGTTATTGTTTTAGGGGGAAATTTTATTATTCTTTTCATACTGAGCTCTAGGACAATTAAGCAGGCAATGTTCTGTTTTTAGGAAAAGTAAGTAAAGTGACTTGACAGTCAACTTCCAGTATATGAGATCTACTTTCTACATATTGGGCAGATCAAAACAATCCTAGTATGGTCAATCTCACAAGCACAGAGTCTCTTCTATATTGATCTAAGTACAGAAATAAAGAAATTGATTAATTACATTTGTAACAGGTCTATGACCTTGAGTTCCAAAGAAACAACTGCAACCAAAAGATTAAATAAAATATTGTCTTGAAAAGCTATGGAGGCCAGTGAAGCAGATGAACACAGCATTTTTACCCTACTGATAGGAAAAATTAAGATTCAGTCAATGTTTTGAACCACTATTTCCATGTTTGTGGGGACAGAACTTGGTTTACAATCTGTGTCAGTCAAAGAAGTCAGTAGAGACTAAGTGAAATTTGGAGCATCATTAAGCAGATAGAAAGGATTCAGTTCCATAATCACAGGTGCCCAATCCCAATTGAAATACCTTGATTTCCTTGTATGCATACACACAGGAGTGGCAGATATGGCAGAGGATATTGGAAGATCTCATATGACAGTGATCTTTTGAGTCCAATGTAGCAAGTGGGTTGTAGATAACTGAATTGAGCTGAGTATCTGTGCAGGAGCATACAGATACCCACACACAACACTTAAGTTTACATATCTTCTAGACTGATCTAGAACAGATGTCTACTACCAGTCACATCAGTTGTAAAACAGCAGCATATAAAGCAGAAGATAAAGAACCATAATAGTTCCCTAAGCAACCAAATTGAAAAAAATAGGGGAAAAAAATGGTACCTGAAATGTGAATTTTATACGAAAAGTAGTTAAATGGAGTCTTTTAGGAATATTAAAAGCCCAAATAAACCGCTGAGATTTTGCCAGTCTTTACAATTAAAGAACTTGGACTCTCAGATATAGCAATTCTTTGTTGATAGTAGTTTGACTTGTTGTGGTTACCTTTTTAAATCAAATACATAATTTAGTTTTCCATAGAAAAAAATATGAATAACAACAGGATTAATCTTGATAGGTTTAGTTAACTGGTTAAAAAAAACTGTGGGACTGGGTCGTGAGATGCAACAAAATAATTTAAAATTAAGCTAATTTGCTGAACACACAACCACAGGAGCAAAAGCATTACAGAAGTAATTTATCTGATTTGTTGTAGAAAACAAAATATTTTGAAAATTTCTCCATTAAGGAAAAAAATATATAAATTATAATAAAAAAGAAGATTAATTTGGCTTTCCAAACAGTTCGTAGAATTGTAACAATTTCCAAATTAGAAGATATTGGAAAAGGCACATTGTATATTTTGAAAATAGTGAAGAATTATTTTACAACAAGTATTAGACTGTGTTTTCATTTTGGGTACTTCATTATACTTTATAGTACTATTTCTAAATTTTAGTAGAAATGAGGTTTGTTATATTTGGTCCCTATAGTAACAGAAAAACCATTCCACTTTTTTAAAGAACAGCCTAGAACAATGATTTCAGATATTTCTATTACTTAGATATTTCTATTTATCTATTATTTTTCTTATTAATGGAAATAGTTTTCTATAATTCTAATAATATAATAATATTACTTATATAATTATTATACCTTAAAATTTTTTATTAACATTGATAACATAATAAATTAATATTTGTATATAATAGAAATACACTATATGATATCTAACACCATATCTATATATAATAATAAATAATTATATTCTTTTATCCAGTTATTTATTTTTAATTATATTATTAATATATACTTCTACTATATAATTATTTTCTATTATTAGATTTAAATTAATTATATATAACCATAGAAATAATAACAAAAATAATACTTAACACAGTAATAAAGATCAGCCTTCTATAAAGTCAGATGAATTAATAGGAACAAATACTCAAGTCTAAAATGAAGTATATTGTAGGCATGTTTTGTGACTATAATATACGTTACAGTAGTAGTGCTTCCTCTAATATTCCTTTTCTTCTTAAATATATTAAGAGTGATTCACTTAAACAAAAAGTTTTCTCTGTGAAGTGTGCCAAGTTTTTAAACTTGGGGCAGAAATAAGAGTTTATAATGACAAATTTTAATGTAAATGTTAAAATATGGGAATGTTTACATGTTTAGAATATGCATATATCTAAAATAAAGGGGAAATTTTTTTGAATAAAGCATGAAACAACCTCATCTAAATTTTGGAATTGCATAAAATGTTCAAGGTAATGTTTTTAATCTACCTCTAATATTAGTCCTATAACAAACTAATAATGCATAGGCTGAGAAAGTTGAGTTAATATAGATTTTTAATTTATAAGTATCTTGATATTTGAAAATATTTTCCCTGTCTTAGTTGATCGTCATGGATTTGAGATCTTTTAATATTTAGAGAATTTTGTTCACAAAACACTCCGTGCTAATATCTGTTTTGGATGATTTACCAGGAACTCTTTTTATGATATGGAAGTGGGATTGTGTAACATAAAAATTCAGGATATGATGACAATGAGCATTTTTGAAATGTTTTGAGGATACATCAAAGAAAGTTAGTAGTGCAACTATGTCCTTTAATTTTCAAAAAGCAATCAATCAAACAAACAAACTTTTAAAGACCTTTAAACATTTTGTTAAGAAATGCTGAATACGTACACAAGATTGCTTTATTATCTTACATAAGGTCTGGTCATATCCCTTTACTTGAAGGTTAGTCTGTAAAAACATATAATTAGAAAACTTTAAGATGCTGAATAGGATTTAATGCCTCAAAACTCACAGATGCAAACACAGCCCCAGACATAATGTCAGTAATGATATTAATCCTTTAATTTATACAACTTAATTCTAACTCATGAAAAAAAAATAAAAACAAACCAAACAAAAAATATAAAAAATAAACAACAAAAAAAACCCAAAAAACAAAAAAAAACAAACAAAAAAAGCCACCACCACCAACAAAAACACCCAAATCATTTTTTCTTATGTTGTAAAATTAAAAAAAATATCAAAAGGCTGGCTTTGATTCAAAGAATTTGGAGGGTAAGGAGTACTGTCTAGGCAAAGGCGGGGCAATAAGTCGGGAACCGTGATCATCTGACTCAATCAATGCTGCTCTGTTTAGTAAATCCCTGTGTAAGGTTAGGTTTATACTATGAAAACAACTGTCTGCAACCTGCAGGCACTAAATCTTTCCTATCTCCAGCTAATTTTATAGTCAGAAGATTTACATATGCACACATATTATGGAAATGATTTTGTAGGATTTGCAGTGAGATATGTTAAAGTCTTCTCTTTCAAAGGAATTCTTTATGGAGCAAGGATAGCAACATGTGTCTGTCAATAATTAGCTCGTGTTAGGGACTATTTTTAATCACCTGTCAAAATATAAGGACTGCATTTTCTGAATTGTATCAATTTTCACAGGGTGCCATGAGTCAATATTGCAGGATGGAGCAGGAAACACAGGGAGAGAATTATTCACAAGGAGGTGAGAATAAAGGACAAAAAGAGGAAAAAAGGAAGATTCTACATGCATATCTCTTAGGAACAATGGGCCAATTCCATAGAATTCTTTTACTCCAAATTGATAATTGGCAACAATAGCAAAATTTTTCAGGTGCACATGAATTTTTTCTGCACATAATTAAAAATAATACAGTTTCAATTACTTCCATATTGAGTTTGTGGGATGAAGCATCAGAGGCATGAAACACAAACAGTTAAGGCCAATAGTCATCCCAGTACAATATTGCCACTTAAAATAGTTACCTAGCAACTTTTCAGTTACTTGTTCCAAACAGCATAAAGCCAAGATGAGGAGAATAACTTGAAAATCAGCTGAAACTTGCCTGAAAGTAAAATCTACTCAACTCATATGTCTTGACCTGTGAAAAAATTACTGCAAAAAAGTTCTCATACTCTCATACTCCTTCACTGCTTGTACTTCTCATACTCCTCTGCTTTCTAAGAAAATACATTTTCAGATAAATTGATCCAGACTCGTCAGCCACAATTATGAGTTTCATAGTATTATTCTGATGTGTTTAATTTTCAGGCTATTTAAGATTATACATGATCCCCAGGCCTTAGAGGTATCATGGCTGGATCCATTTTCTACATGGAGCATAACCTACGGCAAAATGGTACTTTGACTGGATCTGAGAAATACTCATATATAAGCACTATTCTAGTCATAGAGATAAAAATTTCTATATATTGTAGTATATTATATTAAAACAACTCATTTTGACTAGAAATTAGGCTTGAAATCATATGTAGGGCAGAGTAGCAAAGAGATTGCTGTAGCTTTAAAAAGTTAAATACCGAAGTGTAATAACTAAGGTATTAAAGCCAGATCAAGTTATATCTGGAATTTGAAACAAGGAACAACCAAAAGTAAGTAAAAGTGACTTATAAATTACAATAGTGGGTAACCCACAAGGTCAGGGGAAAAAAAAGAGGAAAGCAGTAGGGACACTGTAATTTTTTTAAGGTATTTCATTTAAGTCTAATTATACATGGTGCATTCATAGAATAAAATACTTTTTTGTTTTTATAAATAAGAGCAAAGCACTGTTTTTTTGCCTAAATAAATTAATTGCTGATGATACTAAAGAAAGCTTTATAAAATATAGTAAAGGATTGTGTGTCAGGAGTGTTTGGGCATATAGTTTTTAAGGGGCTGTTTTCAAGAAGAGCATGCATCAATTCAACAAAAAATCTGTCTAAGTCTTTTCAATGTAGACAGTAAGAGAGTAATTTCCTCTGCCCAGTTTCTTTACGAGTTTAATCTCATTAAGAAAAAGTAGACAAACATTTTATAAAATTATGTCATCTCTGGTTTCCAAAAAGATGAATAACTTTCCTTTTGATCATCAAGAAATTGAGACAAATGCTCCATATTTTTCCAGTAATGGAGACAGAAAAAAGATACAGCATCAGTCTTGCTAATATGAATAGGAGAATGACTGTAAGTGTGCAGCAAGGGATTTTTGTTAAATTTAAGAATTCAGGTGGAAGTGGTCATATTTTGCAAAACTGCCCTATTTCAGAGTAGATTAGTAGAATATAAGTTGAATGTGACTTCACACATATGTTATTAATGCAAAGGTTTTAGGCGTGATTACTGGTTAAGTTTGGCGAGCTCAAAGTATTATGACTTGTTCCTGTTTATGGTTAATCTTATATAATATCCCAGCTAAGTCCTTCACTTAAATCTGTGCTAGGTATTAGGACCAGATGATTTGCTTTTAACTTCCTAAGAATCTACCCAGTCATTTTAATGTCAAGGTCACTGTTTATAACTCCTACTAGAATAGACTCCTTAGAATCAAGGATAATCCTTTATTTGATGTTTATTTACTTAGTTCCTCTTTTATCTGGAGCTTCTACATGGAAGGTTTTACAGTAAATAAGTTTTTACTTTTTGACAAGATAGACATACGTAATAACTGGGTTTATTAATGTATCTTGCTTTACTAAGCTCATTCATAAAATGCCAAAACAGATATTATTATTTTGCAATCATAATTAAGAGTGAGGAACTGAAAGCACCTGCATTGTCTGATGATATTTTTTAAAATTCTCATATATTTTTCTTCAACTTCTTTTCACTTTAGAATACCCATGCCTTGTAATATTACTGCAACTCTATAATATTACATAGTCCAAGTTGTAAATAAAGACAAGAAAAGGATCAGGAATATTGTATCTTTAAATATTTTTTCCCACAGTTCTTCCTAAAACAATTCTGCTTCTATATCATCTCTTAATTTGGATTGCATATCTAGTGACAAGCTGCCAACATGGCTATGTCTAAAATTTCTACAAGAGACAGTTTTCTCAGACTACCCACTTTTCATATAAAGTCAATGAAAAGATATGTCTTTGGATGCTTCTCTCATGTTCTTTAAGAACATGCCCTGCAGAAAGTTAAAGTATTTATGTAGACTCCAGTGGAAAATTTTCAAAGAGACCTCTCTGTCTTTGGAAAGGGCAAGATGGTGAAGAAGGGGCACCGGTTTATGATGCAGTCTAAGAGGTATATACAATCTGGGAGACAAAGCCAGATGATTCAGATGCTTTTCAGCCCCCATAATGTTTCTCACTATGCTACTTGCAATCTATTTAAGTATCAGAGAATATAAAAACAAGGCAGGCATTTATCTCATTAAGATCAAATTTTTCCATAATAAATTTGCATAGACATTTTTATTTAAAACAAAAAAAAAAATCAGAAACTGAATTATATGAATTTTTTTTTTTTTTTTTATTATCATTATGATATGGAATTTGAGAGAGCAAAATGTTGGGTCCTGCACTTGGTTCCCAAAAATCCATGTAGTGCTACAGACTTGGGAAGAGTGATTGGAAAGCTCCCCAGTAGCAAAAGAGGTCCTGGAGCAAGTCCAGAGAAGAACAATGAAGCTGGGGTAGGGTCTGGAGCACAAGTGTTAAGAGGAGCAGCTGAAGGAACTGGGTTTGTTTAGCCTGAAGAAAAGGAGGCTCAGGTGGAATTTTATTATAGTCTACAGCTACCTGAAAGGAGGTTATTGAGACACAATAATCTCCTCTGCCAGGTAATAAGAAACAGGATGAGAACAAATGGCCTCAATTTGTTCCCAGGGAAGGTTTAGATTGGATATTAAAAAAATTTCTTCACAGAAAGGGTTGTCAAGCATTGGAACAGGCTGCCTAGGGAAGTAGTGGAGTCACTGTCCCTTGAGGTATTTAGAAGACACTGAAGAAGTTGTAACACTTGGGAACACAGTTTACTGGTGGACTTGGCAGTGCTGGATTATCAATAGGACATGATGATTTTAGGCATCTTTACTTATCAAAATATCTCTATGGAAACACAGAAATATGATTCTATTAAGTCTCTTTCATAACCAAAATGAATTCTCTTCATTATTTTAAATGTTTCTGGTGTAGTTATACTTCTGGCTTTGTGCTACAGCTGTTACTTATACTGTTACCTACGTGACTATAAATAAAAATGTGGAAAAGTTCAATCATGTGGGACAACATATCTTCCTGTACTAACTGAAAGGCTAGGTCTCTAATGCCTTCATAATAGCTATTAATATCTCACTAAACTGGTGTAGTAAAATGTGATCCTGTCTACACCCTAAATTCTCACAGGTTGCTTCTACTTCTGCCAAAAGATGCCTGACACTGTTTTGGTTAGTGACCTGACCAAAAATAGATCATAGTTTCCTGGACTGTTTTCTTCCCAGTTTTCTTCTCTATGGACACTGTGGGATGGTTTCTATTTTCCTCTCACTTTCATTACAGAATTGACTTAGAAATACTTGGGTTCTTCAGCTTTAAACCTCTCCAGTGAAACCTCCAAGTTAAAATTGTGGCTATCCATTGTATATTTGCTGTGTAATTTTTAAACTCAAGAACTGCCTTTGTAACTTCAGCTTTCTTACTTCAACATAAATTGCAATGTAAAACAGTGGGTAGGGAGGTTTTTTCCTCAACTTAATCAAATTACCAATGAAATTAATGAACTGCAAATTCTTCACTATTTTTATTAGATGAGGTTTCTTTATTTACAGTTTTGACTTTTTTACCTTAGGAAAAAAACTTGTTAAAATTTTAACTTGATTTAGATTTATTTTTCTTCCTTTTACGTAAAAACAAATGAAGCATTGTGAAAAAATCAAGGATACAATAAAGTTGCTTAATGCAGTATTTACAATAAAAAGATATCAAAACAAATATGAGAAAACACAATTTGTTAATTGAAATAAAACTGTTGAAATGCTAAGTAGTAATGAGCGTAAAGCACTGAAATTCTCTAATCTTTCTTTTCATATTTGCTGATTTAAAAGGATAATATCACTGGGCTTCATCTTGTACTTTAAATATTAGAAGAACATCTGCAGAGCAAAAACTCATTTGCTTTTACCCCCTGCTCAGGGAAAAACTTCCCATCAGTTGATTCATTGCCTTTACTGAGCACTTTCTGTTAGAAAATGTACTTTAGAATTTAGACATAGGGCTTTCTTGTGCCTACTGACCTCCCTGATAACTTTTCACAGAAAGAGATTGTTATGGGACACATGGAATCAGAATGAATTTTGAAAACAAGGATAGATTGTTAGTATCAAAGGACTTTAAATCTCCTATAATCCTTCACTGGGTAATCATTTTATAAAGTGGGGAGTCACTTATTTACATTTTTCTTGCCTTTTCTGCATAACAATAGACTCAGACATGCAAGATGGCTTTTTTCCCCGTGCTCCTGTATATATTTGTAGTTGATATTCTAAAGCAAAAAAGTAAGTAGCTGAGCCTAAAGAAAGATATTTATATTATGTATACCAAACTAAAATAATGCTGCTTGAAGACATGTAAGGAGAGTTGATCATTTTTTGTTTGTTTTCAGGAGTGATCAACATTGTTTTTACATGAGTGTATAGCAAAATATAGTGTCCAGCTTGGCATCCCTGACAGTTCTTGGCTGGCTGACATGCA